CGGCAACTTCTGTGTTTAGCTCGAGCTCTGCTCCGTCACACTCGTATCTTGATTGTGGATGAAGCCACCGCTAATGTGGATATCAAGTATGAATTAATTTGTTTAATTATATGTTTGAGGTTAGACTTCTTTATACCTCAACCACCAATAACGGTGATTTCAAATAATCATTTTTGGCCAGCATCCTCACGAAAAATGGAAATTTTAGAAAATTTTAATTTGGTTTCAGTATGCTTTCTTTTCCCATGAAATCTCCAAAAATATGATATATATAATTTTTCCTTAATTATATAAATATATACAGTAGCAATTATCAATATCATTACTGATTTTTTTCTTCCCACTTAGTTGCTTTTGGCAAAATTAAAAAAGAGAATTTAATTTTAATTTTTTTTTTCTTCCTTTTCTGACGATCTATAAAAAAAAGTATGTAATGATATTATAATACCAAACAACACTATCCAAGTTTAATTTTCGAATATGGGTGATGTAGATTTGAATTTGTATAATATTTGAACTTCCTAAATTTTTGGATTAAATTGGGAGAATAATGTGATTGATTTTATATCTGTTGGTGTATTTTATTAGAACCGATCAGCTTATTCAGGCAACAATTCGTGAGAAGTTTAAACACTGTACTGTGTTGACAATTGCCCATAGACTGAACACCATTATGGACTCGGATCGCATCTTGGTAAATTGCTTTTTTTTATATGCTATGCCTTTGTTTTTTGACAAATACATAAATGTAGCCCCTAATAATTCTTATTTTTTATTAAGTTTTATGTGTAAGGTTTTCATTATTCATAGCAATATACTCCATATTTCATTACAAAAAAATACTTGAAGTCTGTCTTGATGGTTTTCCTGCTAGGAAATTCTGGGGGGAAAAATCATAAATCTATAACATAATTTATAAATTACATCTAAAAGCCCAAACACTTACAGTCTCAACACTGTTAAAATTTATAATTTTCCAATTATTTGTTATCACTTAAATTTCCAGGTGTATTTTACTGCTAACTATTTACTCAAAACATACACTAACCTGTAATTATTAGTACTATTTTAAGAAATATATTGTCAGTTTGACGCCAAGCATTCAGTTTCAGTATCATCATTCATCTTGCCTTGAATGGAATGAAATGTTCATCACGTTCACTTTCAACCGTTCAAAGGCCGTGTTTCCACAGCACTTACAATTTCTTTCATAATTTCTCCAATAAATTATCTTAAAATTCCCTCCAAATATTTTATCCCATCATGCAACATTATGAAAATTGCGATGTGTTCAACATCTAAACTTCTGTTTTGTTGACCAGCAGGTGAACTTTTTTGTGCGCGAGATGGATGGGCCTAGGCCAAGAACAAAAACTAGGCTACTAACTACTAGAAACTAGCTACCCAAAAATACTCTTTGCATGACCGTGGTTTGACATAGGTCAAAGGTTATTTATTTTCCCATTCGGATATTTTTCCAATAAGTTATCTGATTCTCGTGGGAAAATTTATCATAAACTTTGGGCCCTGTTTTCGCAGCGAAAAATAACAAAATGCATGCTTTCTGATAATTGTGACCCAAGCTCACAAACTCCCACTGCACTGTATTGAGAAACAAGCCTCAATACCCAGAATAGGGCGTAGAACGTGAATTTTGTGTGAATTGGATTTTTGTGTAATAAATAAAGTATAACTATTAATCTTACTATTCCTGAAGTTTGAGTTTAAAAGTCCAACTGTAAGAGGTAAAATTTACCCATTTTTGAATGGGAGCTAATGAAAAATGAATAGAAACCTGCCAAAAATAAAAGTATTTTTCTCAAAACTTGATTTAAGAAAGTTGATAAGATGACAATTATTCAAAAGGTCATAACTTTGCTTCCAGACACCCAATTGAGTTCATTTAACTGTCATTTTAAAGTAAATGATATGTTCTATGCCATTATAACAAAAACTCATTTTGGCCTGAGGACGAGTTTACAGCCTGTTTGTGAGCTTGGGTCACAATTTATTGGATAATAAGTGTTAGGAAACGCAGCATGAGTAACGAACAAGTATAAATCTATTCTCTCATTTCCTTCATATTTAATATTGTATACTTCTATATTTGTTAAATTTGACATTTGACCTGTCCATCCTGCAGTTGTGGTCAGGGTACTCATTTAGGGTTATTGCAGTGTGGGTGTCCAGGTGGGCCAGATGTCCATAAGGGGAGGAGGGCTTGATATCAATGACGAGAGCACTAGTGGGCAGGGCTACAGGCTGCGATATACCCTTTGGAGTGGTCCAGAAGCCAAAGCCTTATGAAGCTCAGACAATTTTGTTTTCTCCCCAAAAAACTGTTTTGCGTTTTCAACTGGGGGAGGGGTTGACTGGCCCATACTCATGGTGCCATCACTGGGTTATAGAAATTTAAAACACAAATTGTCAAATGCCATTTGAAGAAGCTGCTTCAGATATTTATTATTAATTTATTATTCTATATTTTTTTTTATTTATGTTCAAGTATTAGGATAGAAAACATAATACTGTTATTTTTATGATATATTTTGATTCCTCAGATCCTCGATCAAGGAAAAATTGCTGAGTTTGATGAGCCATTCGTCCTGCTTCAGAAAGAAGATGGACTTCTTACAAAAATGGTGTCAGAAAGTGGACGAGCAGAAGCTGTTAAATTAATAGCTATTGCCAGAGAACAGTATTATAACAATTCAAGTGATCCGTACGGATTCAGTGATAAGAACATTTCATCATCACCACTTAGAAAACTTATACCTAAAGGTGTTATCAATCTCACTATTGAAACTAATTTATGATAACTGTCATGGTAACTGTTTGGTAAATGTTTATTTGTTAGTCAATTTTTGTTAACATTTTTATTGAAATTCACACATGTTTAAATCATAAATGCAATAGAGCACTGTGTAGACTATCAAATTTTTAGTCGACAAAAGCATTCCTGAATATGGCATTTGCAAAATTTAAAAGTGTTGACAGGGCTGTAGCCTTTACCTGTATATGAGTTAAAGGTGTAAACTTCATTCATATAATTACAACATGATTTGTTGAGATGCATTACATGGCATCAGTGGCATATCCAGGAACATGGAATAGAAGGGGGCCCAGTGAGGGGCTTTCACAGAGAGGGTCCACCCACCTCAATCCCCTACCATGGTTGGGGTTGAGGTAAGACAATCTATGACTATATCAGCTCTAGAGGGCCAGAAATGGCACTTTCCAAATTTTATTTTTTCTCCATTTTTTTTTAATTTTTTTAAAATTTAGCATTGATAATACAGTATTTTAAAACAAGATGCCTTGAAGACTTGGTGTGTGGAACACTTGGCCCAATTTTTAAAATTTTCTGTTTGGCTTAAAGAACAACAACTCAAATTTGATTTATTGACTAGACTGTGATTACCATCACATACATTTCATATCATACTTGTTTTTATAGTGTCCATAAGTTTAAAGGACACATAAAGGAAGAAAATATAAAACTTTGTTATAAATTTATTGTTTACGTTTTTCTTTTGCTGGTGTTTTGTTTTTTAAATATTTGATGAATTGGTTGCTATTTCATGTTTTTTTTTTATCATTTAAAAAAATTGTGAATAAATATTTTTATACCTCAACATGTAGTAGACTATCATTTTATTAAATAATATCCCCACTAAACATCATCTTTTAATTTAAGAAAGCACAAAATATTTGTTATGATCCACCACCCAGATGCCTGGGTCTGCACAAATCTGGAAGAAATATATCTAGCACTATTCTTTTAGGCGTCTTACTTTGAGTACCTCATGATGTCAATTACAATATCGTAAAATAACAATTTTACACTTAAATACAAATCTACGAATTATTGAACGAGGAGATGTCACACTAAAAAAGCAACATAGAATTCATTGTTCAAATACGTTAGTGCAGTACAGCATAGTACAGCCAGTACAGTACAGTGGAAGGTAGCCGAGTAATAATTATCAACACTTCAGTGAGTGCCACTGATCATACAAAGGTTTATGTTCATTGTATGTAATATGAAACAAATTGACCATATTAACCCCCAAAATCCCGACACCAAAAAAGTTTAAAACGGGGTTTAAAACGAAGTCTCGTAATCGTGGAAGCTCCGATGAGAGCAGTATATTAGAGGTAGTAGAGTATTTTGGCCCTAACGGCCGCCCATGCAAAAAATTAAGCAGCACGAAAAAAAAAATTATGAATCAGTCAGCGAGGTATTCCTAGCGCTCATCACCTGAGCTAAAGTGACGAATAAGCAGTGCCTACATCTATCACATTTTAGCGTATTGGGGCGCTAGCCCCATGCCCACAGGCCCCAATGGAAAAAAAATAGGCCCACTTGATTACAGTTCCAGGCCCAACAGCCCTTTAATCTGGCCCTGACCGCATAATCGAGTTTTTGTGTTATGCCCCCTTGGGGGCATATTATAGACACTATGTTATGATCTGGCAGTTAAAGAAGGTGGAAAGGGTAAATCCGGTGGAGGTGCATGATGGGTCATGTGTCATAAGTACCTTAAGTGACTACAAAAAAAAACCACACATTTCCTATTAACCGAATCCAATGTGGACACTATTAGTAAACTTATACAGTAAGGCAGTATAGGGCATAGACACGCTCTCGCTGCGAGTCAATTATAAATTATATATATATATATATATATATATATACATACACAGGGACTAGCGCCCCTACAATCATCAGCGTTAGTCTTTAAATAATTAGAGGAAATACAAAGGACAAGCGATATTTGTTGGTAAATTATATTGGTGGTCAGGCTTTCATGAATGCATAGATGGATGACGATCTGTTTCACTGTGGATTTCCATCCATCACGATGATATCGGAGTGACAATTTTTACAACTGGGCAATGTATAATTGATTATTTTAAAGCTAAATTAACAGTTTTTAAAATTCAGTATTGAATAAAGATAAATATTAATAATCAATAATTTTCTTTGCATTGCTTTATTAGATTTTTTTTCTATAAGGGGCCCCAGAGTTCGGGAGCCCACAGTTTCAATGAACCACCTGAACCTGAATGAAGAACAATGCGAACA